TCATGTTTGGGCCGACGCATGTAAAACACTTCCCGCGACTTACGTTTGGCATCAGCAATTTTTGCATGACACCTCAACACCGTGAAAGCAAAAAAAGAATGACAAAAACAAATGCACATTTCTGTCCGCTTAGCTAGAAGTACCTACCCAAAAAATAGTGCTATTTGGTGTCAAGCATTTGTGGGAAAAATTGTGAGCACAGATGCCTGGCGCACGTAGCTGCTGGTTTATTGAGTTTTCAGCTACACTGGATCTTTGCTTGACGGAAGCTGAGGACCTGCTTGATGTCGATTTTTCCGTAATTGTTATCCCGAAGGCAGTGCTGGAACGTAAGGATGTGCACGTCGACATCATTTTTCCATCACTGAACTTACTAAAGTGCCTCTTTATGCATCTAAAAGAATATTTTTTTATCCTGATGAATTTTCGGCGCAGAAAATTTAAGCAATTTTCAGGCACAGAACTTGTCTTATACAAACTAAAACGTTTACGCTGATCATTTAAGAATCTATTTCTTCTTCTTTCAGCACTGGTTTCGACTTATGCATGCATAAACCTGAAAGTAACAAGCAGATGTTTCAAGATCTTTTTGGTTGGAAAAAAGAGGTAGGCTTCTTGGCCCTGTGCAACAGCTCTCTGTGCCAAAAATGGATTTTGGGGTTGGCTCAATGCTCTTCAGGCTCGAAAAGAAAATAAATAGTGATGCGTATCATGGCAGCCAGTGCGATCATGCGTTACATGCAGTTCCGTCCACCGAACGATTGCCTACTAGTGATTTTCACTGCTTTGCATTTTGATCTGTGCAAAAGTAGTTGAGACATTGTCTGGTTCCTAAGTTTCGGAATTTTTCACTAAAAATTTCACGCAACGGTATGTGAAAGTTGAGTTTGAAACCTTCCAAAATTTTAATTTCCTGTTTTTTGGCTTTTAAGTGAACTTTCACACGGTCGCACATGAGACCATAGCACAGTTAGGAGCTGAATTCGAGTTTGAGAAGCCCCTGCTTAGGAAGGAAACATCCCCCTGGAATTTTCAGCCTTCCAGCTCCTGTGGCTTCCGAGATAGTGGTTTTTCCCGCCAAAACCTCCAGGCGAACATTGAAAATTTGTGAATTTGTACTTGGGCATGGGATGCCACACTAAAATTTCAGCGTCCTAGCTTTCGTGCTTCACTGAATGAGCGGTATGGAGGGTGAAGTTTCGACAATTCGAGAAATGTAAAGGATACACAGTCCACTTTGCCGTACGACCGGCAGTGCTACATTTCAGCAAGTAGACTCGCCAAACTAACCATTATTTCGTGCAGGCTTCGGGAAAGTGGTGCCGCGTGCATTAATTGCATTTTTTTGGGAAAAAAATACTGTAACATTTTTCATCAAATATCATTACAGCACTGCAAAAAAATTATCAAAATTGTT